ACGGCCAGTAGTTTTTCTTGGACGACCCATCAGAGGCAATTTGTCTCTTGATCCAGTGTTTCTATACCGAGACCAGACCATCTGCACGGTTCTGACTAAACAATTCAATTGTATCGATATACTGACATTGCTTATATTTCGCCTCTTCAGGTTAATAACTTGCACCTATAACCGTTAGATAATTGCCTGTATCTTGCCATATTGGAGGAAGACAGGAATAACATTTGCTGTACATTTACAAGACCAACAATACAATCCCATGGTACAGCGGTTTTATACTCATTATTCACATTATAAGTAGACCAGGCATTATAATTACCCAAGATCTGCCTACTTTTATTACTCTGAGTTAGGGGGTGACACTTCTTTTGTCCAGTGTGTGTACGTGTATGTAGTGTCATTGTAACATCAATGATTTGTCTTAGTATATAGCACAATTGCATTAGATGTGACATCCGAGTCTACAGTTGGTGACAATATTGTATTACACGTCATTCATCTATTACGTGACATGTAACATATGATTGCATCTTAGGCTCTGTTCTCACAACTTTTAGATCGATCTATCACCGCGGGGAGTCTCACTAGATTACTGTCAGATAATCCCCCTTAAGTGTCCGTCCCCGCCTACTACAAGCTTTAAGGGGTAATTAACTTTCGTGTCCGCCCGGCTGACAGCTATTTAGCGTGAACCCCCAGGGAGTTAGGTCGATCCAATGTAGGTCGATCTAATCTATGAGAATGGGGTGTTATATGTGAGATGCGACGTCCTGTCCTGCATAACGTGTCATCATTGTGCTAGGTGTGACATCACAATCTCCTAAGTGTAACGATAATTCTATGACAAAATTAGGAAGTAGGAACCCTCATCTGTAACATTGCACAATAAGTATGTAGATCATTTGAAGTAACGTTTGCACGCGCATTGGTTCCACTTAGGTCAAGTGTATAAAATCTGAATACTGTACATAATGAAGGGGTTTTCAATAGGAACTGAAGATGTGAGATTGTTTTTATTTTGATGTGTCTCTGTACACGTGCAGAGGAAAGATAGAGTCGGATCTGGAATCATGCCGAGACGATTTTGAGTTAATTCCTTGATGGGAATTAATACACTGAAATTAAGAAAATCTATTTTTATATTAAAATTAAAGTGGATGTCATATCGGACGGTTCAAAATATATGTCTAACAAATCAAGACAAAACATTATACTTGACCCCCCCCCACACACACACACGCACACACTCCAAACCACCCCACGATTTTAGGACAATCCCCACCCTGACAATACCAAGAATCCTCGAGCAATCCCCCAAAACAACCCGCTATCCCAGAAAATAAAGTGCTTTTATATCTATGGACTCTGTAACGTTAGACCGGCATCCACATATCTCTACCAGCACACCTACATATTAATGGTTAATACCCATTCAAGACAGAAGCAAGTTATATGATAAATGGTTGGCTTATATAATTACATAAATATTAAATATAGGAGGGAACAGACTCAACAATATCAATGGGAACAAATAATGGAAAGGTCTGACATTCCTCTATGCACTCCTCTATGCTATACTTTTTTCATGTGTGTGTGTGTGTGTGTGTGTGTGTGTGTGTGTGTTTATTTGAGGGGGGAGTGATGTAAAAGAGTTTACGAAGCTTCTACGGGGGTCGGGGTGGAGTCGAGGGGGGGGGGCGGAGGCCGAAAACAGCAGGTTGTAATATCATGGAAAAGTCTTATGAACAAGATAAGCTTATTTGAATATGGAGCTCCTTACCAAATAATAAAATTAAGATCCTATGTCTTAGTTATATTTTATCAAGTGTCCATGAATACAGCAGCGCATTTGATGGTATAAGCGGCATGGCATAAATATAAAATATTAAATATACCTATAAAGGCAACGTCAGAAGTGGTGAGTTGTATCTGTCGTCTTCAAATGTGTATTTTAAATAGTATTTACTCAGAACCGTTTGGAGGAAAATATTAATTTTGAATAATTTTTTTTCACGGACGTTCAATAATTTTGATCTTGGTTAATAGTATTCTGACGATAATGTATTCAAAAGATCCAACTCTTTGTTAGCAGAAGGATCCAATTTTACCACACAGATTTTCAATTCTGACAGAGATTTCTCCCTTAGAGAACCAGGGGCTGAACAGAATAGTTTCCAATGGAAGCACTGAAGATGTTCCAGTGGTTTGTATTTGGTGCTGTCCTGATGTATTGTCTACAACTCTGGCTGATGAGAAAGCAGACAGGTGATTCCGCTCTCAGCAGTCGTTCCCTCACTCTCTCTCTCTCTCTCTCTCTCTCTCTCTCTCACACACACACACACACCCACACACACACACACACACACACGCAAATGCGCACACACACACAAATACACATTAAGACACGCACAAGAACACGCGCGAGTACATATATCCTACTTGTGTTCTACAGTATATAGAAACACACACTGGCTGATAGTAATCGTAACATAGTTAAATAATTGATTTTTTCCATAAAGCAACCGCGTTCAATTTTATACGCATTTAGGTAATTGTTGCCTAGTTTTATTTAGCTGTAATATGTCTTTACCTAAGACAGCATTATCATAAACCCATGGTACTAGCTGGATTGATCTATCACCACGGAAATTCTCGCTAAACTACTAAATCAAGTAAACCACTGTCACATGCGTCAATTTTCAGAACTCTCATTCTAGGTACCGACATCAGTAGTTCACATCCACCGACAAGAATATATGTAAGTTACTTTCATAGTGTGTTTGAGAGTTTGCGTGCGTGTGTGTGCGTGTGTGTGTGTACTTGCGTGCGTGCATGCATGCGTGCAAGCGTAAAGAGTCAACTTCAGTCTCATATCCACACATGCATAATGTTGGCCGCATTGCCTGTTTAGTTTAATACCATTATAATTTCTTCAAATATTTCAATATGGAATACAATATTTCAAAATGGATAGACAAAATAAAATGGCTGGCATGACATGCCGGTGCATACTGCCTCCGATATGAGGTCACCAATGCATTTTCTTATTAGGTTTGACAAAGTGTAAAATCAACCCGCTACAGCTACAGTTTTCAAACTCTTTTGTTCTTTTATTAAATTACGAGCTGCAATGTTATCAGTGAGTTTATGTTTTATTTTCCCTTTTCTGTTTTTTTTTTAGATAGATCGGTACTTTACCACGATCTTATTCGCTCAAAATAGCTTTTATTGTCGTTTTTTATGTAAAATGATTTCTAGATATATCTATAACAAAATTAAACCCTTCAGAACAAAAACTCCCCCATTCATTGTTTTATGCGCCATTCATGCGCTAAACTGTTTTTAACCTCCGTCCCATTCAGAACAAGATGATCTTCAGACTAATAGATCCGCGAATCAAACATGGCCTTCCCACTTGAAAGCTTGCCGCAAAATACCCTAGAAGAATCTGAATAGATTCCCTGCATAAAACAACGAATGGTTTTATTCTTAAGGGTTTAATTTTGTTAGTCCTTGGATCAACTTGGATTGTGATTGTGCTATAAATTGGCGTAAACTAGGGAAGATTTTTTTCCCGAAACTCCAGACCTAAATAAGATATTATAATAAAAAGCATGGTTCGCGACAAAAAGTTTTAACTACAATCCTTTGCTTTTGAAATTCTTCGCCTCTTTACTGATAAGATCAAAAGCAGGCCTTTCGAAAAGATTTGTAGTTATTAAGGATGTGGTAAATTTGCGTAAAAAGGGTGTGGATAGATGTGCTTGGGAGGGATTTTCAGTTGAAATGAAATTTTGACCGCAAAGCAACGTTGTTAAGTCATCGTATCCAGTTGGCCAAATTTTCCCTGTGTGTTTTTGAAGTGACGGCATTATCTCAATACATGGTAATGTAAATTTATGCATTAGCTAAGCGGATAAGAAAATAGATCCTAATGTATCTATTTACCTTCAACGTGTATTAACTTGCTTCCTTACCTTTGACTATGCAGATTATAGAAAGTATGTGTCGACTGAGAATGAAATCGTTTGAAACGTTGTCTCCGAAACTTGAATTTGGTGACCAAAATGATCACATATATCTAAATGAACTTTGATACCTTTTCCGAAAATTAAATGGATTTGCACATTACAAACGAGTCTTTATCCACACACACTCTCTCTCTTTCTCTTTCTCTCTCTCTCTCTCTCTCTCTCACACACACACACACACACACACACAGGCACACATTTGATTCTATTTCCAGGATCGGCATTCATCCTGGTTGAACGTCCCTAAAAACTGGCGGGAAGACATGGAGCGTCGAGTGAAGCACATGGAAACCGTTTGCCGAGAGACCACCCGCTCTATAGATGGCAGCAGTGCCAGGACAGGCTTTCCCCCATTCCTTTATGTGGATGATAAGCACCGTCTTATTATGTGCTCAATGCCTAAAGTCGGCTGCACCAATGGAAAACGCCTACTTTACGCGTTAACAGGAAACGTGGATATGAAAAAGTTCCACAATTTTGGATCCGATAAGCAAGTATTTGCTTACAACCGTTACCTTCCTCGACTGAGTCAGTTTTCTCCGTTTGGAGCTAAATTACGGTTGGAGACCTATTTGAAGGTGATCGTCGTTCGTCATCCATTGGAGCGCCTGGTATCGGCCTACAGAGGTAAACTGGAAGGTAAAAGTAGCACCATTACAAGGGAAGCTATATATATTGCCAAGGGGTTTGAAACCAACCCGACGCCAGGTATGTTAACTGGGAAAGAAGGTGTCTCGTTTCAGGCTTTCATTGATTATCTCATCTCTCTTGACCCAAACAAAGCTTATAACCCCCATTGGGAAAGCTACATTAGATTATGTGATCCATGTCAGATTCATTATGACGTCATCGCCAAACTGGAATTTCAAGGCACAGATCTTAACATGATGCTGAAGCTGATAGGAATGGACGACAAGTTGACGTATCGTCAAGGTGATTTCCCGGCCTCTTCCTCTGCAGTCTGGAAGAAATATTTTACTAAAATATCTCAAAGTGACATCAGGAAAATATGGCAACATTATGAACTTGACGCTCGTCTTTTTAATTTTACACTAGACTGGTACTGACGTGTTTAAAACGTGGTAGTTGAGATACACGCTGTATGAATAATGGTTATATTATTGTGATCTTTCATTATGTTGTCTCTTGATTGTGTATGGGTGATAAAAATAAATTGTTTCTGAAAACACAAAATATTTTTCTAGCTAAAAGACACGGCGCCATCTAAAACGTGCTTGATCGAATGTCTAGAAGTAAATATATATTGATGCACTTTTGAAGATCTACATTATAGTTGTAAAATACTTAAATTATTTCTAAAATACTTCTATTCTCATTAAGGTCTATACGGTGAATTAACATGAATCCTCAATGATCGAATGTCTGACTCGTTTAATTTCGTAAATACATTTGATCCTTTATCGGTAATAGTGATTTTTATAGTAATTAGCATTAAAGCATGAACTTCACTGCACACGTGTTTAAATATACAACATTGGTCATAATGGTTGTCCCACCCCTAATTCCATGTAATTCAAACTGTTCTAAACAATGATTTTTATTCCAGATACCATACCTTGCATGGTTAATCGTTAAAATAGCGGCAAAATATCTATATATTTATAACATTAATTCAAATTGAAAGTATGCTCCCCCTCAAATCCGGCATTTCATTGTGACTTCCACAGGGGCAGAGAAGTGCCTTTTTAACTGAAAAGACACCGCCAATTATCACCAAATTAACACACAATTAGCATTAGGGGGTGCTCGTTAAATGTCACGTGTCTAACAGAGTGTGTGACTACCGCGTACTGCAGTCATCTCCTGTAAGCGGCGCGACAAGCCTTCAACAAGAGGAACAATCCTGTTTTGTGGGATATTGTCCCATTCCGGCGATGTAGTTTTAGATTATTTGGGGATTGGTTCTCCTCTGCATTGCATTCTCCAATTCATGTCACAGATGCTCAGTAGGAAGAATATCAGGGCTCAAAGATGGTTGTTCCATTCTCAGAACAATGTGTTTCTGCAACAAATCACTTGCCAGACGAGAGCTGTGTGCAAATGCGTTGCCATGATGAAGCCAGTAGCATCCCAGATGTCACCTCTTGCAAATGGAGTGAGATATTTGTAGAGAATTTAACAGTAAAAGTAATGTGTTGTGTTTTTATGCATAAGACACATTTTATCTTGCGTTAGTGAAATATTCAAGAAATGCACACGTACCTCACATAGATATAAAAGCACTTTATTTTCTGTGATAGAGGGTTGTTTTGAATGGATTGTTCGAGAGGGACTGTTGGTATTGTCAGGGTAGGGATTGTACTAAAATCGTGGGGTGGTTTGGAGTGTGTGTGTGTTTGGGGGGGGGGGGGTCAAGTATAGTGTTTTGTCTTAATTTGTTAGACATATTGTTGTGAACCGTCCGATATGACATCCACTTTAATTAATAGATTCACTGAATTTCAGTGTATTAATTCCCATCAACAAATTATCCCAAAAGCGCCTCGGCATCACTCCAGATCCGACTCTGTCCTTCCTCTGCACGTGTACAGAGATACATCAAAATAAAAGCAATCTCACATCTTCGGTTCCTATTGAAAAGCCCCCTTTTGTACAGTATTCACATTTTATACACTTTATCTAAGCGGAACCAATGCACGCGCAACAGTTACTTCAAATGATCTACACACTTATTGTGCAATGTTACAGATGCGGGTTCCTACTTATTAAATTTAAAGTACAGGTGTAACGAAACTGACAGTCCGTGTAACAGAAAGTCCGCCCTCCATTTAGATACAATGGTTAGGGTTAGCCTGACCTAAATGGGTCAAAATCTAGGGCAATGCTTATAATTACCTGTACAAACGAATGGGAAGCGGAATCTCTCTGATGGGGGGACTCTGTAATGTTACACCGGCACCCACATATCTCTACCAGCACACCTACATATTAAATAGTTAATACCCATTCAAGACAGAAGCAAGTTATATGATAAAAGGTTGGCTTATATAATTATATTAATATTAAATATAGGAGGGAACAGACTCAACAATATCAATGGGAACAAATAATGGAAAGGTCTGACACTCCTCTATTCGCTAGATGCTATACTTTTTTCATGTGTGCGTGTGTGTGTGTGTGTGTGTGTGTGTGTGTTTATTTTCATATGAGGGGAGAATGATGTAAAAGAGTTTACGAAGCTTCTACGGAGGTCGGGGTGAAGTCGAGGGGTGGCGGCGAAAACAGCAGGCTGTATTGTCAAGGAAAAGTCTTATGAACAAGATAAGCTTATTTGAATATGGAGCTCCTTACTAAATAATAAAATTAAGATCCTATGTCTTAGTTATATTTTATCAAGTGTCCATGAATACAGCAGCACAGTTGATGGTGTAAGCGGCACCTCTATCCTATACTATAAAAAATTCATGATATAGATATTAAAGATTGAATATACCTATACAGGCAACGTCAGAAGTGGTAAGTTGTACCTGTCGTTTTTTAAATGTCTATTTTAAATGGTATTCACTCAGAACCGTTTGTTGGAGAATATAATTTTGCATAATTTTTTTGCACGGACGTTCAATAATTTTAATCTTGGTTAATAATATTCTGACGATAAGGTATTCAAACGATCTAACTCGTTGTTAGCAGTAGGATCCAATATTTCCATACTGATTTTCAATTCTGACAGGTATTTCTCCCTTAGAGAACCAGGGGCTAAACAGAATAAATTTTTCAATGGAGGCACTAAAGAAGCTAGTGTGGTTTGTAATTGGTGCTGTCCTGATGTATTGTCTACAACTCTGGATTATGAGGAAGCAGACAGGTGATTGCGCTCCCAGCTGTCGTTCTCTCTCTCTCTCTCTCACACACACACACATACATGCAAACGCGCACACACAAATATACACATAAAGACACGAACACGCGCGCGTACATATATCCTACTTGTGTTCTACAGTATATAGAAACGCACACTAGCTGATAGTAATCGTAACATAGTTTAATAATTGATTTTTTTTCCATAAAACAACCGCATTCAATCTTACACGCATTTAGGTTATTGTTGCCTAGTTTTATTTAGGTGTAATATGTCTTTACCTTAGACAGCATTATCATAAACCCATCGTACTAGCTGGATTGATCTATCACTACGGGGATTCTCGCTAAACTACTAAATCAAGAACTCTCATTCTAGGTTCCGACCCTGGCAGATCACAGCCACCGACAAGAATATATGTAAGTTACTTAAAGGGTGTGATTGCGAGTTTGTGTGCGTGTGTGTGTGTACTTGCGTGCTTGCATGCATGCGTGCAAGCGTAAAGAGTCAACTTCAGGTATACTGGATGTCAATCACAGTCTCATATCCACACATGCATAATGTTGGCCGCATTGCCTGTTTAGTTTAATACCATTATAATTTCTTCAAATATTTCAATATGGAATACTATATTTCAAAATGGATAGACAAAATAAAATGGCTGGCATGACATGCCGGTGCATACTGCCTCCGATATGAGGTCACCAATGCATTTTCTTATTAGGTTTGACAAAGTGTAAAGACAACCCGCTACAGCTACAGTTTTCAACCTTTTTTTTTTTCTTTTATCAAATTACGAGCTGCAATGTTATCAGTGAGTTTATGTTTTCTTTTCTTTTTTCTATATTTTTAAGATTTCAACTTAGATAGATCGGTACTTTACAACGATCTTATTAGATCAAAATAGCTTTTTTTTGTCGTTTTTTTAAGTAAAATAATTATCTAGATATATTCAAAACAAAATTTAACCCTTCAGAAAAAAAAAACGACCCATTCTTTGTTATTAGCATCATTCACGCGCTAAACTGTTTTTAACCTCCGTCCCCTTATTGTCAATTTAACTACTTTCTAAATTGGCGTATTCAGAACAACTTGATCCTAGATTTATAGATCCGGGAATCAGACATGGCCGACCCACTTGAAAGCTTGCCGCAAAATACCCTAAAAAGAATCTGAATAAAACAACGAATGAGTTTTATTCGTAAGGGTTTAATTTTGTTGGTCCTCGGATCAACTTTGATTGTGAATGTGCCATGAATTGGCGTAAACGTTTTTTTTTTTTTTTTCTCGATACTCTAGACCTAAATAAGATATTATAATAAAAATAGCATGGTTCACGACAAAATTTTAATTACAGTCCTTTGCTTTTGAATTTCTTGCCTGTTTACTGATAAAAACAGAATCAGGCCTTTGGAAAAGATATGTAGTAGTTAAGGATGTGGTAAAATTGCGTAAAAAGGGTGAGGATAGCTTTGCTTGGGAGGGATATCTAGTCGAAATAAAATTTTTACCGCGAAGCGACGTTGTTAAGTCATCAGATCCAGTTGGCAAAATTTTCTGTGTTTTTAAGTGACAGCCTTATCTCAAATCATGGTAATGTAAATTTGTGCATTAGCTAAGCGGATAAGAAAATAGATCCTAGTGTATCTACATGTCTTTACTTTAAACATGTTTCAACTTGCTTCCTTACCTTGGGCTATGGCTTAACAAGCTAATAGAAAGTATGTATCAACTTAGAAAGAAATCATTTGAAATATTGTCTCCAGAACGTGAATTAGGTGACCAAAATGATCTCTTATATTTAAATGAATTTTGATAACTTTTCCGAAAATTAAATGGATTTGCACATTACAAACAAGCAAGCAGTATTTGTCCAATCTCTCTCTCTCTCTCACTCTCTATCTCTCTCTCCCTCTCTCTCACTCTATTTCCAGGATAGGCATTCATCCTGGTTGAACGTCCCTAAAAACTGGCGGGAAGAGATGGAACGTCGCGTGAAACACATGGAAACCGTTTGCCGAGACACCACCCACTCTGTAGATGGCAGCAGTGCCAGGACAGGCTTTCCACCCATGCTTTATGTAGATGATAAGCACCGCCTTATTATGTGCTCAATGCCTAAAGTCGGCTGTTCCAATGGTAAACGCCTACTTTACGCGTTAACAGGGAACGTGGATATGAAAAAGTTCCACAATTTTGGACCCGATAAGAAAGTGTTTGCTTACAAACGTTACCTTCCTCGACTGA